TATAATTCTGTTACCCTCAAGGGGGGGCAACAAAATTTTAGCATCTAATTTTTCATTTCCACCAGACACCCCCTCCCCCCCCCTGTAATTAATGACCAGTCCCAAATGTGCTAACATTTCCGCACATATTTTCTAAAAATTAGTTAGCCAATTAGATTTGGGGTTAACCACCCTCCAGTCGCCACGCTCGTTTGAGGAAATGTGAGGATATATATTATCGAAAACAACCAGAAAATTGGGAAAATGTTGCCATTATGACACTGTTAATTTTTTATAAAATTTTAATGTTTTCTCACCCCCCCCCCCTCTCCAAGCCCCATAAGAAACGTCATATCGCAGAGCAGAGGCACACACAGGTGTCACTCTGACTACGCCAAAATCTGAGTCTTTTTCAGTGCTCATTTGCAGCATGCAGGGTGAATCCAGGATGTCTTGTCACTTCATAAATGCAATTTTCGTTTCAGTTTTTTTTAAAACCTTTCGTAGAGTCGAAAAATTACAGATTATGTTTTGTCTCTGGTTTAACTCGTATATTGTGACCTCAAGATGTTACTTAAGTTTTGTGCAAATATTAATCTAGCTTTACGTCTGTTCTGCACTGGAATCGCAGGGCCACAGGTTCGATTCCTGCCCGAGGGCCTATATTTTTCGCAACTGCTCCTGCCTGGTTAGGTTTAATAAATGTATAAAATTCATACTCGAAATTTCCAACTACAAAACCCTTCTATATTCTATCATATGTCCGTTTAAGGTAATTCCGCGGTAATTGTTCCCGAAATGAGAATGTGCTGAAACTTCCCAGGCATGGAGTTTATGATATACTTAAAGTAAAATCACACAAAAGTCGGGGTCACCGAACTCGTTAAGAAGATATGACAATCACAATATACCACCTTTACCCCAATATGGCGCCATTTTGACGCTCATTACGAGTAACAGCAAACTCACAACAGCCCGATATTTATTGACGTTTCTAGCGCGGATTTTGCTTTAGTAAACCAATCTTGTAATTATTTTTGAAAAAATATTGTGTTTTGAGCAAAATGAAACTACTAACGTGTACAATTCTGATCCACAAATGTCTTTTCCACACTCTTTACATATCTTTCATTGAGAACATGCATTGATAAAGCATTTTTTCCAAGATCCAGAAATGATTTTTCTTTTAATTTCGGATATGAAATGTAAAATGCATGCATTAAAGAAATAAATTATCAGTTAAAAAACGGAGGTCACCGATCTTTTTCGGGAATTGTGGCATTAAAACGTGAAATACAAGTAAATAAATATACTACAGACACATGGGAACCCTATAGCTACACTTTTGTATGCCTTTTTTGAAAACATTGATAAAGTAACGTAATTCTTTGCACGAATGTAACCAAAGATGTTTTGAAGTAACATAAAATTGTCATAAAATGATATTTTCTTTAAACGGTACGTATAATGGATGAAATTATAAGTTATAAGATGTGCGCAGTAAAAGTGCGCAATGCAAAACTGCGGAATTACTTTAAAAGGTCTATAAGAGAGTTGTCCGTTTGTTGGGGTTAAACTGTATACACGTTTTGTTTAGGGACGAACCATTAGATAATTAAGGGAGTGGTTGCAGCTTTTTTCTTTTCTGGAATTTTTTTTGACGCACAAGTTGTACAAACACTTTTGCACAGTTTTCAAACCCTTTTCTTTTAATGATTTCTCTCGCACGATTTTTTCCTAAAGTTAAAGGCTTGCTCAATTGTTTTGGGGGATTCCTACACCCCACCCCCTCCATAAATATTCTAATGGTCCATTATAAATGTTGGTTAATTTAAATGAAACCGGTGCTGATCAAAAAATGATAGACGATTGGATGATAATAACAACGTTGACAGATGTGTGTGACGTATCTCGAAACATGGCTAGATGAATAAAAGAGCTTGTAATTTTATCCAGTCGCCCTTTCTGAGGATTTCCAAAGAAGTATACTTCACTGGCTTAAGTCGCTCAACTTCATTTTAATTTCTTCATTTTTATGCTTCTTTGTGGTAAGTTAATTCAGGATACTATATTTATATCATGAGGTTTGCTCTATAATCATATGCGCAGTATTATATTTATGAATATAAAATTTTCTTACAGCGATCTGAACCATGAACACGCCACCGACACCAGAATCGCCAATTAAAGGCATCTCGGTCAGGGAAGACCAGTTTGGTGCTCGTGCACTGCACTACAAAGCAGGGAAACAACGGTACAAGTGTATCGCAAATTTCTATTTTATAATAGATTCGTTTGTCAAGTTTGCGTCAAGTCATCATAAGATGTATAACGGATATATCTTAAACGTGCATAGAACAGATGGCGTAACAATGTAAGTATGGTATACATACAAATTATATACTATAGATAATACTATTTAAGTATTTACCAAATTCAATATTACAAACATAATAACATCACTGTGTCGAGCTATGAACCATATTAATACGGGATCTCGCGGTGTCGACCTCCATGCCCCTGGACAAAAACTGCGCGTAAGCAACGACTTTCATCGATATAGTTTGGACATTACAAGGAAAGCTAAAATTAAAAAACACTCGGATTTCATATAAAAATGTATGTAAAAATGTGGTTGTACGGCTAGTGCTATCAATTTTACAATAAACTTGCCATCTGAATAGGAACTGATCCAACTTTTTCGCGGCGAATTTTTTCGCCGACCAATATTGGACCAATCACATTGCCGAATTTTGAAATATGTGTTGAAGATTACCACAAATTGACGACAGACAGCAGCAATTTTCTAAATGTGCCCTGCGCAGATTAACATGAATTTGTTCATGGTTAGGGGCTACAATTGATCGTTTCTTGCCAATCAGCATATTAGAATAGTCGCAAAGAGCTTGTGAAGACATCTGTATAGTTTATTTTGGACGCGCAAATATAGTTTTTGACTAATTATTTTTTCCTCAAGTATCATCTTGGCTGAACATAGAATACCCGTCTATTTTGACACTTCGCACCTATTAATCCGATGTAAGCCAGGAACTTCCCCTGCCTACACACCTTATAGGCACGCAAGTTTGCGGCAAATAACCCATAAATAATTTATTAAGGGGTCGAGGCTGCAGGCTAATATTGCCGCAAAGGGCCCATTCAAAATTTATATATGATTTATGTGGTTACATATTATTGAATGTAATATATTAATGAAAAGTAGTGACAGCATTATTACGGAAATCGAGTGATTAACTCCATAATAATCTTTATTCATCAAATACCAATACAGGCACTTGGCACTTACGGTAAAACTAAAAAATACAAAACGTATCTTTATAATATATTTAAAATATAAGACTATAGTGCGACAGGCTAGTGACTCGGGTGTTTTACAAAAAAACTTGCAACTTGTCTCGCAATATTTCGTTGCGAGACGTGCATGCAGATTGCAAAGTGTATTGCAAGTTGCAGCAAAAATTGCCTCGTGTTACATAATATTTGTTTTTTAATAAAAACCAACCACTATGGAGCCCTGCGTTCGATCTAAGAATGATAAAATGTGAGCGGTTATAGCTATTCTATATTCGTTTTTATGATGCGTAAATTGATTTCGTCCTCTGTCTCTGATTTGTTAAGGGAATGTTTCGTTACGGTTAATGAAATGGATATGGCAAAATCGTTTAAAGCTGCCATTAATAGAACCTTTAGCGACAAAGGTGGAGTGTTCTGGGAAAAAGTGAGTGACCAACAGCTGAGAAGCTATATCATGGAAATGATGCGAGAGTTTGCTTCGAATGAATCAAGGAAACAAGTTACTGGAAGCTTGATTATTGGTCGCCAACCGAATCCCGTTAGAGTGAATGACTTCGGAGAAACTTTGGATGAACACGCTACAACTGGTGAAATCAAAGATGACGTCGACAACGCCGTGTATATATTGAACGAGAATGTTCAGGTAATAATATAATATTATCTGGGCCACAGTAGTGTTGTACCCTACAATCCTATATCCAGCGAGGAAAGTAATTATTATTCAGTAAATAGTAGTGCCGGTGTCACAGGAGATTCGCCCCCTCCCCAGGAGATTCGCCCCCTCTCAAAAGGGGGGCGAAATTCCTAGGATATTCGCCCCCCCGGGCGAATCTCCTAGGAATATCGGCAATGAAAATTGATATCATGTCTCTCGTCCACAATTTTCAAAAATTTGGAGCGGGATTTTTTCGTTTTTCATTACTTTTTGGATTCGAATTCTGCTTGTCAATAATTTCCTTGACCCAGTAAAAACCCCCATAAAAATCTGAAGTATTAAAAACTGGTGTATAATTTATTTTAATTTAATACGTCCTACACTACAGTCTACAGTATATTTCTTTACATACCAGGGCTGACATGAAAAATAGAGGCATTCTGGCGAGTAATATCTTTAGAAAGATACAATTTGAGTTGCGCTTGCGGAACGCAGCAATAAGACCTTGATCTGGAGATCAATTTGGTGTTTTGTTAAGCCTATTTTTCAAAAATAATGAATAATGAAAAATTTTCGTGCGGCAGATAAATCTCATGCCTAAGAGGGGGGCGAATTTCCTAAGGGGGGGGGGCGATATTCCTACGAATTTCGCCCCCCGTGGGGCAAAAATGTAGGGGGGGCGAAAATCCTGGGACACGGGAAGTGACGTCTTTACAGCTGCAGCCATGGACAATAGCATCACGTAGGTTTTCCGCATTCTAAAGTGGCATGTCATACGATTCGTCACCTTTCATAATATACCTCACAGGGTACGTCACTTCCGGCGCTAGTATTTCCTGAATACTAATTGCTTCCCTCGCTGGATGTTGGGTATAACACTACTGGCCACATATACATGACGATTTTTCTTGCAAATATTTGATCCAAAAAAGCGTAGTTGAAAACATTAATTAAATAACCGGTATATTTTCAGTTCGACTGTTAATGACTAAGAACATTTTCTTTTTTCTGTGTTGGTGCTGTGTTGGGGGCTAGTATTCCAAAGGTCGTAGGTTCGATTCCCACCATGACCGGGCATATTTTTCAAGCTCGCCCGGTCTGGATGTACACTCAGAGTAACATCACAAACATAACATTTTCTTTGTTTACAGATGAATAAGGATGGTGTCATTCCGAAGGAAAATTGGACACATAGGTGGATGGTTCCTTTCCTGAAAGTCATGCCGTGGGTGGAGAAGAACGCAAGTACGTTTCTGCATGCTAACCCGGTTCATATCGAGATACCATTACGGATATTCGACTGGGAATTGTTTATCGTGAAAGCGAAGTTCTTCTTTAAAACCAATTTCATGCCATTCTTGATGTTACTGTGCGGTGGTATTGGTCAATTCCATTATAAAAAAATCATCGAGTGCATAGGTATGTATTAATATAATTTTCGGTCAACTGACCTGTACAATACTTAATATTTTAAGCTCTTCATTGCATGCTAATCAGCAATATGATACGTTACTTCTCGTCACCCCCTGCGCGCATAAATTAAAAGCCACGCCAATATTTAACAATTATTCGCAGAAGGCGAGGTGATTATCGGGTGATTACTGAGGCGAATAATTGTTTGAATTACCAAGCCTGAGGCGAATAATTGTTTTGGTATTTTGTGGGTTTTTTTTACTGAATTTATTTTAATTTCGCTTAGTTCTTTGTCAGTAACTTGCACAAAAAGGCTAGCCGCCATTTTGCAAATTTCGGTTTTGCTATATTCACCTAACACTTTTTGCTATAACAACAACTTAATACGGCACTGTTTTGACTACTATCCGTAGCTTTAGAGTCATGTCCAGTACCAACAGCCATCGGTGAAACAGCCTGCGGAAAATCTACTGCACTGCGTCTTGTGAGAAAGTTAATGGGCATGCACATGGTTTCCCAGTCATCTGGTGAATTTATAGTGTCCAACTTGACCATTACAACGATTCCCGTATGTTGGGATGACCCAACACATGCATCCTGTGTTCGTCAGCCATTAATGTCTGTCTTCAATGGACTTGGTAATCAAACCCAAAAGCGCGGAGACGAGAAACCAAAAACATCATTTCTGCTGGCAGTTAACTTTGCATTGGATGATGACATGAGGTAAAAACGCATGCTTAGTAAATTCCATTTTCTATTTGTCGCTGCAGTAGAATATGCACGGACTATGTCGTTCGGATCCGTGAACTGAACAACAGAATAAATAGGCAGAATATGTTGGAGGTTTGATGGCTAATCAATATCAATAATTTATTTCTAGTCAGTTATGTTCATCTTTAAATCTGATATAGATCGTTTGAAAGGACGACTCCTATTTACTTCCAAAAGCTAGTAACTGATGGTACTGAAGCTGCTGGAGACTACCTTGAAGCTAAAAGAGACATCTTCCTCTTCACGTCCACTCATTGCCTGCCTCATATAATACGGATGAGTCAATGTGTTAATTCTGCCAACCTCGCCAAGCATATGGACTATTTCAGGGATCACCTGGTTGGAATGTCTCCACGACTGCCTGAAATCTATTCAATTTATCGCCTGTTTGCGCACGAGGTAACTGATACATCCCACCTATATAAGCAATGAAGTGATCACAAAATGTTTGCCTTCTTGAACTGTTAAAACATAGTATGTATTCAATATATTTTGAAATTATATAGTCTCGGACTATAAATCACGCTTATACTTATAGCCTCGTTCAATAGTTGACAAAGATTATCCTGATGAGATCTGATGACGGTTAGTGAAATTTTGACTTATTTTAAAGTAATTTAATGTACAACGTTCTTTATACTTTCAGATAATCAGTTTAGTAGATAACGAAGCAGTGCTCAACACACAAGCTTTTGACGATTTTCTCGAAGCACATTTTCTGCCCCATGTCAAGTCATTATATGCAACAACAGTCAAAGTGCACACCAACCTTGAAGATATCATGAAGCTATTGGTTCAAGCCATTGAATTGAACGAAAGAAATGAAGCCGATGTAAGTTGTATTAAAATTCGAAATACATACCTCGATCACCAGTATATAGAAGGTTGAATAAAGGTTGTTCGCGTGGTTTGAAGCCGGGTGGTCAATATATATGTAGTTTTTGCCTCGTATAACAACTGTGTACGTAGGCCTGTTGTAACGTTAATTAATTACTTAGTTTTTTTTTTTAGCTTAGGACATGGATGAGGCCAACAGTTGTCGCAAAGGACAAGACCGTATTTATTGCCTTTGTTCTCCCAAAGGCCTTAAAAGAAGTCAAAGATGCTGGCCTCACGCCTCCAACTGAAAGGAATGCGAGAGATCTCATCAATAGCGTTGGTGGAAGTTCAGATTTTAAGTCGACCTTCCGAAAACAACCGACAAAAATCAGCGCTGTTCGAATTCCGCGATCAGCATTGAGCAAAAGTGTTTTGCAACAGATTGATGGATGTATGTACTTCATTCTATTAATTGTTTCTTGTATTGTATCTATGTTACTTTCAATGCACCAATCAAATACAACCTGGATGACTTCAGTCTTCACCAGCATTTCATACCTTAGAAAAGGCGAGCCTTTTTCATACATAGCTAGGGTGAATTTCTTCTACTACTAAAGGTGGTCTAAGCAAAAAAGGTGACAATTGAAGATTCATTTCCTTCCTTGCCTTTTCTTCAGGCCACTTTCTTCCCCAAAGCCTCAACCTCCATTGGGGGAGCGCAAATGATAATTATAAACGTAGGTTTTTTATTTAGTCTTCAACATCCCGCAAGAAGACAACGTCGACGAATGTGACGAGAATGAGCAGCCTTGTGCTAACTGTGCAGCTCTGGAGTTGGAACTCAAGATGTGTAGAACAAAAAGTGAGCAAGAGTTGCAGGCTACTAAAGATCGCTTTCAACAACAAATGGAACGTTTGGATAAAGAATTCAAGGAAGAGAGAGAGATCAACACAAAAATGAAAGACGATTTCCAAAGCAAAATATTGCAGCTTAATAATAAATTGGTAGATGCCAAAGCTGAAATGGAAAAATCTGGAAGTAAATCGAAGCCGCGTCAACCTCACGTTCACCACCCATCCACGAGTGGATCAAGCATTGTTGCCGAGTCCATTAACAATGCTGTGGGTTGGTATTCCTTTTACGTAGTTCTCACAAAACATTTCTTTCCAGTTGATTGACAGAAAATAACATATTTTTACCAATGTAATTTAGATTCTCAAAGAGCATCACCAGTAACCTCAGATGCGGATTGCCTTGATGATTCTGGTAAGATTGGTGTCTTTATAGAGTATATAAGGCCTGTTCAAACATCGCTCTTCTCATGTGCCGAACGCATTAGGAAAACAATAGATAATCATGCGACGTTTCAGCTGATGCGTTCAGCACATGAGAAACGCGACGTTTAAAACAGGCCTAATTCTGTTCACAATAATATAGTACGACTTTAAATTGATATATTGCAATATGTTTGTATTCCTTAACAGGTTTTCTAGATAGCAGTGATGAAACACAAAAAGGTATGTATGCACCATACCACACGCTCCTCATTGACATCTCTCCATATAGCCCAATGGCGCTCTACAATTTAAAGTGAGAGGACGCAACAACTTAAAAATATTTATATGATATAGCTAAATAATGTTAAAGATAAAAATTTAAGTGTTCTAAAAATCGTCCAATTTAAGGAAAGTTGATAAAAAAACTAAACTAAATTGTATGCCTAATTAAAAAGATGCGTTTTTATATTCGTTTTGAAACTGGTTATAGAGTCACAACGACGAATATCCTCAGGCTCAGGCAATTAATTCCATAACCTGGGTGTGATATATTGAAATGAACGTTCTCCATAGCGGACTAATCTTGCAGGTGGAATTCTTAATAGCAGACGTGTAGATGATCGTAATTAACTAGGAAATTTAACAAGTAACATTACGGGTTAATTTTAGATTAACCAGAAAATTTTTAACAAAGTACATCATTTGTGATACAGTAAAACGCGTGTTATGTACTATTTAAAGCACGCGTAGGAGTGTTTTATCACATATAAAACACGACGCGTAGCAGAGTGTTTTATATGTGATAAAACACGACTACAAGTGCTTTAAATAGCTTCAAAAACGACTCATCTTATACGAGTTCATTGGCGAAGTAATTTTTAAAATAAACTTTGTCTAAACCGAGAAAATCAAAGCTAAAGTTTATGTAAATTAACGTGATTTTTTATCACATATAAAACCACGACACGCTTATGATTTTTCTTTGTGTTTTGCTCCTGAATTATTAATGAGTTTTTGAAATGTATTTCGTGGCTTTATAAATCTATTGCCTGTATTGGCCTATTAATTTTCTTTACAGAAACACATGAAGTACCACAATCTTCAACTTCGTCAAAGAGGCCCTCGCATGGAAAAACTAACAGCAAGTCAAGATGCGACTTGTGCAACAAGAAAAAAATGTCTAATATGGTGCAATGCATTGGGTGTGAGCAGTGGCAACATTGCACATGCGCCGGCTGTTCGTTTAAAGAAGCCGAACAGATGCAAGACAGATTTCTTTGCAGGAATTGCAAATAACTGAAACGCCAGCCCACCAACATCTTTTTTGAAAAAATCGAGAACGTTATCATTGAGTAATATACAGCAATGTTTTGCTTGTTCTTTTTCAAATATCAAAGACAATATGCTATAATAGCCCTTAGAGGTGGTGTTTACGTCACGCCAGTGTCAAACAATGAATTACAATGCAATGTGGAAAACATGTAGGAAACAATTTACCCAGTATAATTTTATATGCATTGAAAACCGTGTGACGTGAACACTTCTAAGGTCTATTATAGATTACACCAGTACAATTTCACGTTAACATAGTTTTATATTTACAGTTTTAACTCCAGTGGTGAAGCTAGCCGTGGTAATTGGCCATGCTATGCTAATAGACCAGCATAGTTTAATTAAGGACAATATATTTCCATAGAGTATAGGTTTGAATAATACAATATTTAATTATATAATATATTTCTAATTATTATTTGAATACAATATTTAAAAATTTGCATAGCATGACCTGTTGCTATGGTTAGCTTCGTCACTGTTTTACTGTAATAAGAACAGTATAGATTACACCATCAAATATTTTTGTATTTACAACTTTAACTGTGAAACGATGTGTTAATTACATTTTCATATCTTCCATTTACAACTTTAACTGTGATATTCACGACAGTATTAAGTAACATTCTTCAGTCGTATGAGACGTGTCGTATCAACAAACTATATTACAAAGAGCCTCACGTTCACAATGTGTAATTTGCGTACGGTTGTAGATGAAATATGGGTCCCGAAAAACATGCGTCAGTTTCTACTGGAGTATGGAGTCGAGGACAAAATGCCTTCTAATTAAGTAAAGCATATTACACGGCGTCAGTGTTTAACTGTATATATGTTCCGTGCTGGTTCCAAATTTATTGATTTTTGTGCAACATTTGTTGCATTTACCCAGAGGTCTCAGACCCCCCCCCCCCGCCCCGTGCGAGATTAGTTTAGATATTCAAAGTGGTTACATGCCCGACATCGGATCATAATCTGCAAGTGATTATTGATTCGACTCAATTATCCGGTAAAGAAAACATGGTTACTTTCACAGGAGAAAATTTAAATTCCATTAATGGATTTTTTCACGCAACTCTTACCATTATTGGTTATTATATATTTCCCATATGGTAAATTAGTAAAAACCATGTTGTTTAATATTTAACAGGAAAATACAATTAATGATAAATATTTTAATATTAAAAACATCATGATGTTTTTTAATTTTAAAATATTTATCATCAATTGTATTTCCCTGTTAAATATTAAACATCATGGTTTTTACTAATTTACCATATGGGAAATACATAATAACCAATAATGGTCATGGTTTTTTTTACCATTTCAACATATGAGAAATCTATAATAAGAGTTCAGTTTTTGATTGTATACTGTACATGGTAAATCTTTAAAACCATTAAAAAACCATTATTTTTCCCTGTGATTGTTTACAAACACATTTCTAGAAAATACGAAACAGGAAAATCTATTTCAGTACCACCAATTACTGTATGCTGAACACTTCATTAATGTAAATACATATATTACATTTAGCACATCAAGTCCATTTAACAACCAGCAGCTTTTCCCAATTTAGGGAGAATGGGTGTTTTGCTATTCCGGTGACATTTTTCAGTATACTTGTTGCGATACTTAACCAGCCTGTGTAAAAAGAAAAATTGGTGGATTTGTGGCATGGCACAAATCACCTTCTTGAACCGACTGGCCCAGATGAATGTTTGTTCACATGCCATAGTGTTAAAATGTTTTGGTAATTTGTCATCTGGATTGTACAGCTCTTGGCACTTCTTGTCGACATGATTTCTAAGATGCAGCCTGTCTATCACCTTAGATATCAATTTCCAAGCTTTGTTAAGTGGTTTTGGCAGTGGAAGATCGTCTCGTGCAATTAAAAGACTATCCATGTGACACATGTTGTCATATGCTAGACACACAGATGACATTGCATCACAGATAGACTCATCACATTGCCCTTCTTCTTGCAACTTCTTGAATTTCCGATACAACCACAGTATTGTCACCAGAAACGCTTGGGTTGGAGATTCAGATCTGAGAAAATTAATATTTTTTTAAATATACAGTTACATTAATTAAATTAAATATCAATATTCAATTCATACCATATTCTTTATTAATTTACGCCCCTTTTTATAATATTAAGCCTTCCTCCAATTTAGGTTTAGAAATTTATTACCCCCCCCCCCCAAGTGCTTGAAAAATATCATTCCCCCTGCTAGGCTTGAGGGGCTTAATTATTAATAGAGTGATTACAGTGTTCTACAGTGGGTACAAAAATAGTGAAGGCTTTCAAATTCAAATTAGCAATAAGTATAGTGACTGATTGTTCTAAACTGCTTTGAGTTAATGATGCTGTATGTGACAAAAATATGTCTTACAATACAGACCCTGGTATTTCAAAAATATCAACATTTACTTATTATTTTACTCATAAATTTAAGGAGGATTACAATCGAAAACCTTTCTCGAAATGCATTCTGCACTTCGTGTAATGTAAAACATAAATATTCTCTGCTGCGTCAATTTAACCATTTTAGCTCTGAAGAATAAACTTAAAATTTAGTTGTAACTTGTTCGTACATGTCCCATAAGTAGAAAATCTTTTGTTTTGCGGCTCACTGACTAATTTGACACAATTATAGCTTGTCAATTTCTCTGTCATTTCTAACATAACATTTTTAATTAACAAACTGACTTAGCCGCATACATGTAATAAATACATGTAAAACAAATTCTAAAGGCATGCTGCTTACAAACTAAAGTTTCCCCCCAAAATGACCACATGCAGATTAATGATATGAACAAACTTTGAAGTCTATTTTAATAATTAATTATACAGAGATGAACTACAGTATATCCAGGTTACTTCTTGAATTGATCCACAAAACCCAACCCACAGTTCACGAACAAGTAACTCTATTTTGATATATGCCTAAACATGCAGAATAATCAGTTTATACCTGTATAGTGGTTGCCAGTATTCAATGTGTCCTCCCCCACTGACAATGAAAAATACTCCTCTCGACCAACAATGAAAGGCTTTCAAACCACCAGTGTCCTTATTACAAGAAATATCTTCCACTAATGATTGGTCCTCAACAAATCCAGGGTTGGTTTTAAGAAAATCAGCTGTCCCTTAAACATTAACACAAACAAAATATTTCCAATCATAATCATACAAAATAATAACAGACCTAATCATTCATGTTGGGAAACACTTTGCTACACTATTACACTAACTCTTTCCTTTGTTAGTGAACAGCCCTTTAATTTGTGTCTATCTGAGTTTCACAATATTTGATATTTTGAAATTTATGCCTTTTGATAATTTGTTTATCTCTTTTAGCTGTATGGTTAGTTAAATATGCATACTGGAAGATAAAACATTCTGGCATGTTTGTAATTGGTAACCAAATGTCTAAAAAGCTATACAAAGGAAGAAACATTAACATCCCTTATACTTCAATGAATCTCATTCTCATGTAGTCTTACTGTCGTTCCAATTGAAGTGTTCCTCAAATATTGATTCAATACATTACCACAGAATAAAGATCAGTACCAGAAGGGCCACTCAGCCGTGCAACGTGTCCCCATTTTTCTATGCAAAAATATGCAATTGACTGGCCAGGAAGATGGCGGCCAGCCAATACAGCGCGTTTATTGGCCAGAAAATGTAATCGACTGGCTAGGAAGATGGCGGCCAGGGTGACAGAAACTTCAAAGCTTCCGACGTAAGTGGCCCTTCTGTGTGGCTTATTCTGTGACATTACCTCGGGCTGACCAATTCATTTGATCAAGTTCCTCGAAATATTCACACACTTCCTAGTATAATTGTAAACTTCCTGTTGAAATGTTTGAATGCACCAATCACCTTTGTTGTTTGTGCAACTAACCAATCATAAATAGAAAGGAAGTGACCAGAAATGTTCAAATTCTTGGAATTGGCTCTTTCACAGGAAGTGTATGAATATCTCGAGGAACTTGATCAAATGAATTGGTCAGCCTGAGGTAATGTATTGAATCAATATTTGAGCAACACTTCAATTGGAATGACAGTAACCCATTGAGTGGCAGCATTCTCCCCTTGACAAATAAAAGCATCTGGCATTAGGCAGAGTAAAGTATTAAAATAGGTTAATTAATAAAAAAAAATATCAAAACAGTTTTGAGTTTTTTGCATTCAAGCTATATTGAAAATACCCTTATTATTTTGTCTCAAGAGATACACTGAGGATATAATACCTTGAAATGTGGAAGCATTAACTGCGTCTTCATCAACACTTTGCTTAGCGAATTCATCCAGGCAGTTAGCGACTGATTCATAGGAAGATTCTAAAAAATATTTAACACAGTACTTAATTAAAAGTGAGTATTGAATACACTCTCCTAAGGGGTTTCCAGCATAGGCTGTGGAAATGGACAAACAACTTGTTGTGTGTAAATATACTGTAGTCTGTATGCTTGATTTAATTAATTACCTGTCAACAATGCCTTTGATGACATCTCTTCCAAAGCTGCAAAGATGATTTATATTGACTTAGTATTTTCATATACACATTTAACTTGTTTCTATTATGGAATCACAAACCTTCATTGATATTTCTATCACTGACACCACAACTTTTGTAGAATTCCCTCAACTCAGTTGGAAAACCAAGCTGAATTGCTTTTACACAGTGTGCTTCACAAAATGCGTGACCACGTCTTGGAGAAAGAGGGCAAATGGACGGGTAATTGATCTTCCCAAAACCACTTATCAGGACTGGAACTTTCCACATACAGTGGGCATATCGGAGTTTCCAGTTTCCGTCTGCTACATACAATTGGCCACATCCTAAAAAGTAGTGTACAGTATTTATTACTGCCCCCAGTTGAGTTTACATCACTCAATATACAGTAGTTTGAATAAAAGTGGGTTTGAAATTAGTTTATTTTAGTGTCAGTGATCTTTCCTTGAAGAAATTTTAAAGTGTAACAGCAATGTCCACATACAAAACATTGTCTAATTCTAATAGTTCAGTTGTCTATTTAAATGTGATTGGCTGATTAGATTGAAATTTGTCATATTGTCTCAAAGTAATGAATGGCCAAATCTGCAACTTAAATGCTTTAATTTAAAAACACTGTCAAAACAGTGTATGTGCAGGGCATCAACCAAAATGCAGGGCATCAACCAAATAGTAGAATGAAAATTATGGTTAATAATATTTAAGGAAACCAGTGGAACTAACTAGTGCAGAATAACAATCACAGATACTTGCATGACCATAAGAAAATTAAAGTAAGGCGTAAAAAAAAATCTGTGGTTCCGGTTTCATATCGTGAAAAAATTAGGGTCGGTAGGTCGGAAATAAAGTTTTTTTAAAATATTTTTTTCATGGTTTTGGCAGTTTTTTGCTGGGTAATTTGCACTAGAGTCCCGACATCAATATTAACCCATTAAGCTGCAGAGCTTCCCCATTGACGAGTAAAATCGTCTGGCATTAGACAAGTAAAAAAAAGGACTCACTGGGGTGCATTGCGGCTCAATGGGTTAACTGGAGACATTGTCAGATTTTTTGGTTAACCCGTTAAGCTGCAGAGCTTCCCCATTGCCACGTAAAATCGTCTGGCATATGTTAGACAAGTAAAAAAAAGTAGGGCGCACTGGGGCGCATTGCAGCTCAATGGGTTAACTAGAGATGCGTATTTCCTATGGGCAAAATTAGGCAATTTGGTTCAATAAATTTAGGCAATTTGGTTCAATAATTATAGTGTGACAATAAACGCCATTTTGGCATGCTGTATGAGCAGCCCGCAACCACCTGGAGAAAATAGGGTCGCACGGTCAATCGTGTTAAAAAAATAATAGGGTCAGCAGAAAAAATAGGGTCGGTCGTAAACCAGAACCACAGTTTACGCCTAACCCATACTGATACATTAATTAATTATTTTCAGTTCACAAATCCTGCAATAGTTATTTGCATGCAATATAGATTACTTACCTTTACTTTTACACTGGTCAGAACAGTCATGCATGTACAGATGTTCACATCGTTTTTTGTCTATCACCTCCATTGCACTTTCATATGTTCCACATGTTGGACCGTGTTCCTTTGAGGAGAATATCCATTCTTCCCTTAAACCATGAGAAGCAAGTTCTTCTTCCACTTCCCTATGCCAAAAACACTGTGAAATTGCCTTTGGTGACAATTCACCTGGCAAAACACCTATTAAAAGAAAATGTGGTTGTCATACTGTAACACTGGGAATATTTGTACACATGGTATTTTCCGGTATACCTAAAAACCGCCCCAGCCTACCGACAGTAAAACAATACCATACATGTACACTAATACCAAAGCTAACTTTTATATGCACTCATATAAAAGGTCAAGCTTGCATCTTACTGTATGTAAGTTGCAACTTACTTTGTCCCATATATACAGTACAGTATATGGCCCCAAAAAAACCTACCTAAATTTTTGTCTAGCTCTTCTGGATAATTCTTATTTTCTAACTCAGGCTCACCTAAAACATAAATAGTAGCATAAGCAAAGTTTGAAATTTGTGGTATATGATCCCATTGCCCATAGGACACTAAGAGACTGTTTACATGACCCCCGATTGCCAGGACAGGATGGAAGGTGGATGAGTTTGATGCACATATTGAAGTAAGTCACGAAACTTAAATGAAGTTCAAACTTCAGTTAATTTAAAAGAACTCAAATGTTGTTGAGAAAATGACATAGTTCAAGAGGATTATTATAGCTGCTTGAACAACCTTTGATTCACAATTTATTATACTGTAATCTACAGTTATCGCTAGAAAAATAATGTACGTTTTGTGGTGCCCCTGCCCCTGTGGAGAGAAGCTATATAAAATAAAATAAAACTTTAGCTGAATCGTGCACCGCAACTTATTTCAATACATCAAAATCACATCTCCAGGAAGAAGTCTGCTCTTGATTGCTCATTTATGGATTCAGGGCTCAATTTGAATATTTCTTCCTTTATTGTTGCAAATCTTTTTAACAAAATATGCATTATTTTCCGCTGGCTGAGGCACAAAAGAAGTGGAAAATGTTTTCTCGCACACTGCTAGGGCCTGATGAAATCAGGCTGTTATAGGGTGGTGCAGGTTAGTTGAGCATATTTTTGTTGTTGCTCAACGTAGCTTGACAGTATCCCACCCACCCAGCCTGTTTACGGGTTTGGATTGGGTATATGTACATGTACTTGTTACAGTAATTATGTAGCGAGCAATTGTAATGTATGGTAGTTTAATAAATGTCAAGCTTGCGGCTGACGCTGCAGCAGCGGCTTGTGCCTGACACATGCAAACAAAGATTCCGTCTGCTAGACAATCACACAATCTGACAATAACACACAATAACACTATGTAATCTTGTCAATTAAAACAACCGGGTCTATTAATAACTGCTTCAATAACAAGATTTCAAGAAATTTATATCAGTCTGAATTTCCAGTGATTTTTAAAATTTCAACTACCTAGTAACTGATATGATATACACCCATATGTGCAGGTTATGATTCACCAGACCAAGTAAAACTATTTTACCCTATGCATTCCTTTTTTAACTGTTCAAATACTAAAAAACTACTTTTAAAAGAAGATATTTACCTCCAAGTCCATCATCTATATCATTTATGCATCTGGACATGCTTGACCCATATTGCCTAATTTGGACTTCATGAACATCGTTATAGGCTTCAGCAAACCCACTGAATGAAACCCAACAGTGATTGCTTAATAAAAGATTATAATCAACAAATGTTAAGATCTCAGCAAATCAGCCTTAGCCTGTGTATATAAACACCCCTTGTGTGCCTCCATATAAACACCCCTTGTATGTGCATGTTTTTTATTTCAAATATCAATTTAGCACACTAAGCACAGCAGTTTGGCAGCAGCAAAATCATTTTTAGTACTTTTTAGTGATTTTTGAATACTTTTTAGTGATTTTTGAATACTACACTTCTTAATATTGTTGTACGATTGGGCAACTTGCAGTCAAGTTGACCCAGCTTTAATGATTACATGTACCAACCTCATTAATTAATAAGATTGAAAATGCTCAACAATGAATAATTGTTGTACAGTGTAAATGGTGTTGATTGCAGTAATTATATATTTAGCATTGGTCCCAAGGTACAGGATTTTTTGCTTGTATTCTCAGGCCCTGGTATTGGTAAAATTGTCCCAGCTCGGCTAGCCAGGACAAGTCAGCGGCTCCTATTAATATAGCCACTAGCTCCTAATATTCTAATCATGGTTAGTCATATAAATATAGGTTTGCTCACCTCAAAGAAGGAAACCACTTGTATAGTTTTACATCAAAGTAGGTCACATTGCTTACTTCGATGAGCTCAATGTTATATGTAGACGGGTAAAAGCGAGATCCTGATTCGTCACTGTAATTGCATATTCCATACACGTAAGCGCAACATCTACATTCTAACGTAATTTTCGTGCATGGTATGGGTCCTTCTAACGTGAATAGTTTAGCTTTCGATGGATTATTTCGTACAGTGAGATCTTTCTGACATTGAACGCATCTGGCCACAGGTGGTGTCAAAAATTTATTGTATGGCAAGTCCTGCGCTTGTGTAAGCTTCCACAGATTATCACATTCTTTCTTCTCAGAAAGAAAGATGGGGCAGTAGGTTTCCACAAACTTTACATACGTCTGGAAGTCCTCCATCGACATATTTTTAATCCCCATATGCTGTAAAGGCAAACTCTTGAACGTCGTAAACATGAAAGTTGATCGCAAAGAGACGCCGTTCACAACACGTGGAATATTCTTTGGAACGTGTTGAACGGCGTTACGTAGGTTCAACAGTCCTTCGATTGAAAGTTTAGCAGCTAACAACTGAAGAGCTTCGTCCTCCATTAGCACACACGCGTCCGACATTAATCGTACTAGGTCAACTTCGTTCACAGCTTTCAGCCGCTCACGAACAGTATTGAGATTTCTCTTTTCCTCTTCAAACTTTGATAGCATATTATCGAAGTCAAACATACCCGACGTTCTCTTTTTCTTCGACTGCGCCATGAATAAAATGCTTTAAAACGCAAATCTCAAGCCACACAACAGAGACAATGCTTTAAAACGCAGAATTCAAGCCAAAACAACAAAGATAATGGTTTATTAAAACGCAGATTTCAAGCCAAACCAAACAACATTGTCAGAGCAAAAAATTTGAATAACATGTGCGTGTGGTACGGCCGCGTTCGCATAACATCTATTGGGGATTGAGAACGGGTGATTTGGGCACGATGGCACGCGTGCTTAGCAGACTTTTTCAAAACTGTTGGTGTATTTTAGGCATCATTTGCATATTCTACATCAAAATCTCACTTAAAAGGGGAAAGGTCTATTCGTTCGACTTTAATATTATGTAAATGTTTTATTTTCACTTTGGATTTTAAAAAATACAACCAAGACTGACGGTAAACTTTCAGTTTTAATTTGTTTGCCATGCAAATTTAAATAATGCACCCCACGGTATGTCAGTAATTTGAGACTGAAAACAGCTGCGTCGACTATTTATAAATCACACAGTGGGAGCTCAGACAAAACTCAGTCGAGTTTGTTTTTTGTGATGTATATTACTTATAAATTCATGTATTTTAATACGTAGATTTGTAGTCATTGAAAATACACTGTCCAGCCTTTGCAAGCCTTTATATATAATTAGCTACGGTCTACTAAATATCCTGTGGGCAAAACTAATAAATATTAACTAGTATTACATGTCTTGCGTGGATGTGCGCATATCATAGAGAGTCGTGTGAACCGCATTGTCTTTAAATTATATATAAACACTATATAACCTATAAATGTTTGTCATTTAATACTTATTAGCATTTTATATATACATGCAGTGGCTTGAAGTACTTTAATATTACATACAATTTATTCACGTCTTCTGAGAAGTTCGGTGTATTGAATTCTTCGCAATGAGTCAAATATATTATATATAAACGCGTACAGGCCCTAGCTAGTGGTTATAAATAGCAAAGACTACAGTAAATTGATTAATTAATACTTAATTTAAAGCCTATTTACGTATTACGCATCGTGTATCAAATGAGTTGATAATCTCTGTCTATGGCCGCACAAAATCACAATATACAGTATAATATAATCATATAATTGCGTCATTCACCGACGGACATTTGAAATTTACCGATGGTAAATTCATTTCTCCATCGGTACCGACGGACAATCTCTATTTACCGATGGTGAATTGCCTTACCACCGGTACCGACGGACAACGTTTTTGAGGGCTACCTGATACTCAACCTAGAACCCAGGTTCTCAAGAGAGAGCTTGGGTGTTTCATAACAGCCTGCACGTCATTCACCGACGGACTTTTCAAATTTACCGATGGTAAATTCATTTCACCATCGGTACCAATGGACAATCCTTATTTACCGATGGTGAATTGCCTTACCATCGGTACCAACGGACAGTGTTTTGGAGGGCTACCTTATGCCATCGCTATAATGCTAACTATCTCATTCACCGACGGACTTTTCAAATTTACCGATGGTAAATTCATTTCTCCATCGGTACCGATGGACAATCTCTATTTACCGATGGTGAATTGCCTTACCATCGGTACCGGCTGTACCGACGGACAGTGTTTTCGAGGGCTACCTTATGCCATCGCTATAATGCTAACTATCTCATTCACCAACGGACTTTACAAATTTACGATGGTGAATTCATTTCTCCATCGTTACCGACGGACAACCCTTATTTACCGATGGTGAATTGCCTTACCATCAGTACCGATGGACGATCCCTATTTACCGATGGTTGATTGCCTTACCATCGGTACCGACGGACAGTGTTTTGCAGGGCTACCTTATGCCATCACTATAATGCTAACTATCTCATTTACCGACGGACTTTTCAAATTTACCGATGGTAAATTCATTTCTTCATCAGTACCGACGGACAATCCTTATTTACCGATGGTGAATTGCTTTACCATTGGTACCGACGGTACCGACGGACAGTGTTTTGGAGGGCTACCTTATGCCATCGCTATAATGCTAACTATCTCATTCACCGACGGACTTTTGAAATTTACCGATGGTAAATTCATTTCTCCATCGGTACCGACGGACAATCCTTATTTACCGATGGTGAATTGCTTTACCATCGGTACCGACGGACAGTGTTTTGGAGGGCTACCTTATGCCATCGCTATAATGCTAACTATCTCATTCACCGATGGACTTTTCAAATTTACCGATGGTAAATTCATTTCTTCATCGGTACCGACGGACAATCCTTATTTACCGATGGTAAATTCACTTCTCCATCGGTACCGATGGACAATCTCTATTTACCGATGGTGAATTGCCTTACCATCGGTACCGGCTGTACCGACGGACAGTGTTTTCGAGGGCTACCTTATGCCATCGCTATAATGCTAACTATCTCATTTACCGACGGACTTTTCAAATTTACCGATGGTAAATTAATTTCTTCATCGGTACCGATGGACAATCCTTATTTACCGATGGTGAATTGCTTTACCATCGGTACCGACGGTACCGACGGACAGTGTTTTGGAGGGCTACCTTATGTTATCGCTATAATGCTAACTATCTCATTCACCGACAGACTTTTCAAATTTACCGATGGTAAATTCATTTCTTCATCGGTACCGATGGACAATCCTTATTTACCGATGGTGAATTGCTTTACCATCGGTACCGACGGACAGTGTTTTGGAGGGCTACCTTATGTTATCGCTATAATGCTAACTATCTCATTCACCGACGGACTTTTCAAATTTACCGATGGTAAATTCATTTCTCCATCGGTACCGATGGACAATCTCTATTTACCGATGGTGAATTGCCTTACCATCGGTACCGATGGACGATCCCTATTTACCGATGGTTGATTGCCTTACCATCGGTACCGACGGACAGTGTTTTGGAGGGCTACCTTATGCCATCGCTATAATGCTAACTATCTCATTTACCGACGGACTTTTCAAATTTACCGATGGTAAATTCATTTCTTCATCGGTACCGACGGACAATCCTTATTTACCGATGGTAAATTCACTTCTCCATCGGTACCGATGGACAATCTCTATTTACCGATGGTGAATTGCCTTACCATCGGTACCAACCGACAGTGTTTTGGTGGGCCACCTTAGCCTCTCTCACTAATGCTAACTATCTCATTCACCGACGACTTTTCAAATTTACCGATGGTAAATTCATTTCACCATCGGTACCAACGGACAATCCTTATTTACCGATGGTGAATTGCTTTACCATCGGTACTGACGGACAGTGTTTTGGAGGGCTACCTTATGCCATCGCTATAATGCCAACTATCTCATTCGCCAACGGACTTTACAAATTTATGATGGTGAATTCATTTCTCCATCGGTACCGACGGACAATCCTTATTTACCGATGGTGAATTGCCTTACCATCGCTACCGATGGACGATCCCTATTTACCGACGGTTAATTGCCTTACCATCGGTACCGACGGACAGTGTTTTGGAGGGCTACCTTAGCCTCTCTCACTAATGCTAACTATCTCATTCACCGACGGACTTTTCACTTTACAAATTTACGATGGTGAATTCATTTCTCCATCGGTACCAATGGACAATCTCTAATTACCGATGGTGAATTGGCTTACCATCGGTACTGACGGTACCGACGGACAGTGTTTTCGAGGGCTACCTTAGCCTCTCTCACTAAAGTTAACTACCTCATTCACCAACGGACTTTACAAATTTACCGATGGTGAATTCATTTCTCCATCGGTACCGATGGAGAATCTCTAATTACCGATGGTGTATTGGCTTACCATCGGTACCGGTGAACATTCATTATTTACCAATGGTATATTCATTTTTCCATCGGTACGGATGGACACCGATGGTAGAACTATTTTCACCAAACTAACCGTCGGTATGCTTGCTACCGTATTGGACAACCCTCAACAAATGCTGATCGTTCATGAGAATACTTTATACGGTAATAATTTAGCACATTGTTATTTATACTGTACCTTTCTAAACACACCCATTTTCACAAGAAGAGCACAGAAACCAAATATATAAATGTTTTTGCAGTCTCAGAAGCAATTATCCATCTGCAAATACAGTACTGGAGGTGACACGTCAATCTATATTAAGAATGGTGAATTTTTTTAACACTACCTTCAGTTTTGCTATAGCGTTTCCTTAATTCCGTCAAATTTGCGCCTCATTTTTAAATTCAAATTAGAACATTAATTATTAATTAAACTTTCTTTTTCTACCTTTTCTTTTATGAATTTCAATACTGCCAGTATCACATTAATTGTTGTATTTGCATCCGCAGGCCATTTCAACAAATCAACAAAGCAGAGTTTTAGGTCTTGTCCATGGGCAAGTACACCAGTTACATGCGTTGGGAGAAAACCTGAGCTTGCTTTCTCAATCTACCAAAAATCCTTTGTTAATATCTAATTACAATATGACAGTGCATGCAAATGATACACTATACAACTTATTTTTACTTATTTTTCTGGCTTTGAACTAGATACGTAGAAGAGTTGGAGGCTAAACATAGGGTGGGGTAATATCATTTCATTTTGTTTCTGCACTTGCGGTTTTTAATTAATCGAATGGGAGTGTGGGTTGAATAAGGTTGGAGGCCCGACTAGACCTATAACTCGGATGTCTTTGTCAGGTTTGGTGAATTTGGGCTTTGTATTTGATATGACGTCACCCGCGAAATGAAACAAACGTGCCCAAATGTTAGTTCAAAATTTACCGAACCTGCCAAAGCCAACCAAGTAGAGGAGGTCCTATGTCTAGGCTGGCTGGAGGCTATAGGTAGAGGAAATAAGTTATACCTTCGACTTTTGGAGGCAATGCGGAAGATGGGTTTTCCCTTGATCCATTCCGTCCACAATAAGACTTAAATATTTCTTAGGATTTGAAATGCTCTTCTTTACGTGGCAGTAATATTTTTTCTTTCTTCCCATTGATAGACGGAAATTAAAGTAGCTATA